GCGCACTCGAGGAGTATCGGCATTTCCTCGAGGGCGCCGCGCATCCGGTCGAGATCTGGACTGACCATAAGAATTTGGAGTATTTCCGAAAGGCACAGCACCTTAACCGTCGGCAAGCCCGATGGTCGTTGTACCTTTCCAGGTTTGACTTTACGCTGCACCACGTCCCAGGTCGCCAGATGGGCCGTCCCGATGCTCTCTCTCGCCGGCCCGACCACGGTATCTCCGACGACAACTCGGATGTCACCCTCTTACGCCCCGAACTGTTCCACGTTCGCGCGCTTGAGGCCGTCACCGTCTCTGGGCCTGGCTCCGAACTTGTCCGCGACATCAAGGAAGCGCTATCCGGTGAGCCTGACCTAGAGGAGCCCGTCGCACTTGCGGCCCGGCAACTCTTGAAGGTCCGAGGTCAAGTTCGGGGCCCCCGCTCATCACGTTCGGACGAGTGGGCCGTCTCCGGCGACCTCCTGTACTTCCGCGGCAAGGTTGTAGTCCCTAAAGACAAGGACCTAAGGAGGCGCATCATCGAGCTCTGCCACGATACGCGAGTCGCCGGACACGCCGGGCGGTTCAAGACCTTAGAGTTGGTTTCGCGCAACTACTGGTGGCCGCAGATGTCTCGCCATATCGGACGCTACGTCGCGACCTGCGACTTATGCTGCCGCACGAAGGCCCTCCGAAGGCTTCCGCATGGAGAGCTCCATCCGACCGAAGTCCCGCCCGAACGTTGGCACACTGTCACTGTAGACTTCATTGTCGAGCTGCCCGAGGCCCATGGGTATGACGCGGTTATGGTAGTGGTCGACGCCCTCGGAAAGCGCGCCCACTTCACTGAGTGCCATACGACAATAGACGCGGTCGGAGCTGCCCGCTTGTACTATCGGAACGTCTGGAGGCACCACGGAACCCCCGAGAAGTACATTTCGGACCGTGGCTCGCAGTTCATCGCTGACTTCACGCGCGAACTCTGGCGCTTAATTGGCGTCAAACCGGCTACCTCCACGGCTTACCACCCGCAAACCGACGGACAAACCGAGCGCGTTAACCAAGAGCTCGAGCAGTACATCCGGATCTTCACCAACTACCAACAAGACGACTGGGACGAGCTTATCCCTGCCGCTGAGTTCGCCTATAACAACCACGTTCACTCCTCCACTCAACAGGTACCCTTTATGACGGACACTGGCCGGCTTCCCGAATGGGTTTCGAGCCAGGCGCCCGCTCAGAGTTGGAGTCGGTAAACGAGTTTCACGATCGGATAGCTAACGGCGTCTCCGAGGCAAAGGCCGCACTCGTTAAAGCCAAAGACGAGTATAAACGGTACTACGATCGGAAACGTTCGGACGCTCCGAATATTCAAGTTGGTGATAAGGTTTGGTTGGACGCCTCTGACATTAGAACGACTCGGCCCTCCGAGAAGTTCTCCCACAAGCGCCTTGGACCGTTCAAGGTGCTCGCAGAGGTTAGCAAAGGTGCCTACAAGCTAGACCTCCCCCGCGTTACTCCAAGCTCCACCCCGTCTTCCCCGTTGTTAAGCTCGAGCCCGCTCAGGACGACCCCCTTCGATGGACGACCCGGCTACGACGAACCGCCCCCGAACTAGAGGACGGAGTTCCCGAATGGGAAGTCGAGGAAATCTTGGATGCCAGGATAAGGTATAAGCGTCTTAACTATTTCGTCAGGTGGAAAGGCTACGATGCTTCACACGACTCGTGGGTTCGGTTCGACCGTGTCTTTGCGCCAGACAAGATTGCGGACTTCTATCGGAGATACCCGGGTAAACCACGGCACATCGCCTCAGCAACCTTCGACTCGCTGCCCTTCCGTATTATGCGTCGGGACGCCGCATTCAAAGGGGGGTGATGTCAGGGGAACCCCCGCCTGGCCTCCTTCGGACCCTCCGAACGCATCCGAGGCGCATCCGACCGGCGCCCCCTCGGACGCTCCGACCCACCCCGACCATCGTCCACGGCCTCCTTCGCCCGCACAATCACCGATCCGTCAAGACCCTCCCAACGATCACCTTGGGACAGAGCCTGCGACGCCGCTCAGGCCTTCTGCGCTCTACGTCGGCAGTTACGGACGACCAGTATATAGTTGGCGCCCTAGCAGGCGGACCCTTAGAGTTTCTTCTCTTTGGATCCTCCCCTGCTAGGTCGGTCCCTCCGTGTATTTCCCGTAGCTTTTTATTCACGCTTTGGATCCTCCCCTGCTAGGCTTTCGTCGGAGTCTCCAGGGTTGCCCTTACACATACCTTAGTTACACTGGTTAATATAGGCAAGATGTCCGCTAACTTTGATTCTCTGAAAGTTAGTGGACATCTACATCAGATCCTGGCTATGGTCCAGTGGAGTCCAGGACTGGTATATACTTCTACGTACATAGTATATGGACCCTCTGAGTGGGTATATACCCCCAGTTACACTGGTTGATATAGGTAAGACGTCCACTAACTTTGGTTCCCTGAAAGTTAGTGGACATCTGGGGAACCAAAGTTAGTGGACAGCTACACCAGATCCTGATCATAGTCCGGTGGGGTTCAGGACTAGTACATACTTCTACATAGAGGGTACATGGACCCTCTGGGTGGGTAGATACCTCCAGTTACACCAGTTGATATAGAGAAGATGTCCACTAACTTTGGACCTAGCAAAGTTAGTGGACATCTACACCAGATCCTGATCATGGTCTAGTGGAGTTTAGGACTGGTATATACTTCTATGTACATAGTACATGGACCCTCTGAGTGGCTACATACCCTCAGTTACACTAGTTGATACAGGTAAGATGTCCACTGGGAACCAAAGTTAGTGGACATCTACACCAGATCCTGATCATAGCTCAGTGGAGTCCAGGACTAGTATATACTTTTATATATGTGGTATATGGACCCTCTGGGTGGATACATACCCTCAGTTCCATTGGTTGATATAGGTAAGCTGTCCACTAACTTTGAACCTAGCAAAGTTAGTGGACATAGTGCTAGTTAGATAATATATAAATATCAATAACCATAACTACTCTAGAGAGATATATAGGGCTATACAGACTCTACATTAGTGTATATATATAGAGGTCATTCACTATGATGATGTTCACTAACTTTGGACCTAGGAAAGTTAGTGAACACCATATAAACCATACAGCTATGCTAGTGGCTAGTACACTATAGAGGTCATACAGTTTCTTAGACGTACCTTATGTATAATTCCCTGTATTAATAAGAACATTCAATAAGTCTGACTATAGACAGCAATATTATACATCATTAGCCTATATCTTATTAAGGAGTATACCTATGCATTTCATTACTTTACCATATGGACTAGAATGGTTCTCTCTACAAGTTAAATTTTTTGATCCCAGATCATCAGATCAAAAATATCATATCTTCTTTAATATTATGTATTTTCAATTTTCGCTTGTACATTTGAGATTATCTAGACAAGATGCCAAACTTTGATATTTTGATGCGCCATCAGATCGGGACAGTGGGCGGGAGGTCGGGCAATGTCGAGATCAACACTGAGAAGAGGTTTGATGAGCAGAGGAAAGGACCATTAACTTTCAGTGGACTTGGGCCCCCAGCGAGCAGCCATGTCCACTAACTTGTAGGGAATCCTAAGAGCACACCGGCCGCTGGCCTAAACCCCTCTAGTTAGAGGCTAACTCCCCGCCTCTAATTAGAGGGGTTTAGTGGGCATGACAGGTGCCCAACTGACCAATTGAAACCGGTAAAATTCACTGTAGGCAGACAGACAGAGCTATTGGATACAATTGGGAATGTAGTTGAAGATAGTAGACTAGAGACTGACAACTGTAAAGATTAGCAACACAGAATAACTAACACAGAAACTTATCTGCAGTTCATTTATGGAACTTGCACCATCCAATTGAGGAGCAAGATTTGGTGCAAAAAGTGGCTTACCCAGCTCAGTTTCTGCCTTCAAAGGTGTTTCAATTTATTCATGCTTTTCCGACACAAGAGGGATCAAGACAACTTGAGGGGTGGAATTCTACATAGAAGAATATCAGAGTTGGCAGAACAATCAAGCTTATGATCTGACAGAACCCTACTCTGTTCCAGAGTTGTAGATCAACAAACACACACTTGTGACTTGACATGTGTTGGCCACAACTGGCTGCAGTGCTTGCGCTAGGGCCAGCGTCTAGTGAGCCAGGTTTCTGGCCTTACCACAACATGAACTGGGGTCTGCAGCATGCGAGACAGTGCGCGCATTTTGAGAGGTGAGGCTTATTTGCGGATAGTAGGTGGTGCACTGGCACAAGTATCTGCATCTGCCAATACTGTACCGCACACACACACACATATACCACTGCTTATTTGTGTTTATAATTATGGGTATATGTGTGTGTGTGATACAGCATCAGCAGATGCGGATACTCACGGTGTTCATGTTACTATCCACAAATAAGCCTTACCTCTCAAAATGTGGGCTGTCTTGCATGCCGCAGACGGCAGTTCACATTGCGGAAAGGCCAGAAGCCTGGCTCACCAGACGCTGGCCTAGTGCAAGCACCGCAGCCAGTCGTGGCCAACACACATGCGCTGCCCCGTTCACTGTCGCCTTTACCCATCGCTTGGTTTCTGCCTTTAGCCCCTGCAGCAAGTTGTCGCAGTAAGCAGAGTCGATGTTCTGGAGCGAGCACAGTCGATCCAACTTGAACCCTGGCATCTCGTGGGTGAGAGCCTCGATGGCCAGCGCCAGGTCACCCATCATGGATACCGACCCTTGCGACGTAGTTTGTCCGCTTCCTGAAGGGCCTTTTATATGCGAGATGCGTGTGTGGGAGTGAAATCAGTACCGGAGGTAAGTACCGGACAGCGAGCGAACCACCAGTGGATACACACCGAGTTCCGAGTAAAGCTCCGCTACATAGTACCCGAGGATGCGACGGAATAGTCTTGTTGCATGTGTCTCTTGTATATTTTTGGTTGACTGTACTATACATGGACGACATCTTTCCCTCCCTCCCTCATGTTGATTTCTGAAGACGATCCGCTCGACCTGCACGGAAAAGTCGCTTTGGTTACTGGGGGAAAGCCTGAGTGCGTTGCACCATTGACAATGCCTATAACGAAGCTCAACCCTTGTAAGTACAGGAATCGGGTATGCGACGATCCAGATGCTTGCGCGGAAGGGCGCTAAGGTACTGTCGTCAACTGTTGAGTGGCTCTAAACATAGCATGTTGGCAGGTCTATGTGGCCGCTCCCGGGCAATCAAGGATGGGAGTGTGCATTGGCTGAAGCTCGACCTTTCGGACCCACGTTTGGCTGTGAGCGCAGCGAAGGAGCTCATGGAAAAGGAGGACTCGGAAAGACTGGATATCATTGGTGCTCTTCCATATGGTTGGCAAAACACTCATCGACAACCAAAATAGTCAACAACGCCGCTCAGTAAGCTATTCAATTCTGGCACGTTTCCGAGCCGAAAGTAACCGTATCAGTGCACTCCCTAAAGACGGCTTGCTCGATATTATGGTCATCAAATTCAGCTCCGGCAGACTCCCCTGCACACTTCTTGCGCCACCTCGAGCACTTTGAATTCGCCTCATTGGTGGCAAATGAAAAGCTGCTCTCCTTTTCTTCCGAACGGGTTGGAGTCTCTTTCGCTAAGGCGCTAGCGCTCAGGCTACCCGCTTCGTAATCAGAGTCAAGACGTTTACCAACCAATAGTTTCTTGCTCGCAACTCAACGCGATGCTGGCTGAAGCGGACTTTCCGTCGCTTGGAGCTTTCATAGTGTGGTATGTGATCACGACGGAAGACGATCATGATTTTACTTGGAGGATTCATTGCTCGAGAGCATACCACGGAAATTCCCACTGCTCGAGAACCTCGTCAACAGGCTCTGGCACCACACGTCACTCGCCGTGGAAGACTCGGATCGTTGGGATGCACGCCGCGCCGAAGTCTCCCACCTTTTCGCTAATCTTTCTGACAGGCCCGGTTCAGTGCGGAGATGAAGGAGACAGTCGCTGCACTCAACTTGAAGGTGAAGGCAGCGGCATGATTCAAGTTCAACGGCTCGCGACGCTGAAAACTCCGCCTCGCATCCAACGTCGCGTTCGCTTTGCAGAAACGAATCAGATCCGAACTGGGGGTCTGCTCGCAGCAGAGATCTGAGACATATGCAAAGTGGGCCGTCCTCTAAGATCAGGTTTTCATTTCAATGATTTCATTTACTTCAATGTAGAATAAATTCGAAGCATGTAGTAGCAAAAGTGTAGTTCTCGTAGTAGTAGTAGTAGTGTAGTAGAAATGTGAATATTGTAGCGTTATCTGTGCAAAGTCATGCCAGCTCTGCTCAAAAAGATTCTGGGAACGGAACTGACAAGCCTCATGATCATGTCACGCACCGCCATCTGTCCAAGGAGCCCGGCACTGCGAAGGAAATCAACAACACCATAGGTACTTGAATGTACAAACCTGCCTATTTTTAACAATACTCGACCACAAATGTGCTCGCTGGGCCCATCTGAGGGACACAATACCTCTGCACCCACTCGCTCTCAACGACCTGTTCTGCAGTGATCCGCGCCTGTTCATCGTAGTTGACCATGGACCTCAACAACGCCTCCAGCGCTGTTCGTTCTCCCTCATCTGGTATGAATGCAATGCGGAACTTGAGGAAGCGCGGGGCAGCGCCATTTTTGGGATGTCCGTCGTCGTTGAAAGCGTCCCTACCCGCCCAACTCGACCACAACGGCTCTGGGAGTTTACCGAGGTTCAACACCATGTCGCGTAGCATCCTGTCGTTGTCTTCGTTGAAGAACAGCCCACAATTGCCGCAAAAGAGCATATGACACAGAACAGCGAGCGCCCAAATATCGGTTTTGATGGTGGGATGCTTCGCAAAGCCGAGGAGGGCATCGGGTGGACAGAGCATGAGCGGAGAAGCGAGGCGGGGAGGGTCGGTGAGGGAGGGCATGTTCGACTCGCTAAAGTCGCAAATTTTGATGTGCGGATTATTCTCGAAGCAGCGTTTCAGTAGGGCATGGTTGTTCTGAATGCCCGGGACAAGATATCGTGGCTGGTGTGGGGAAGGGTTGATTACGCCATAGGCACACTCCTCAGGTTTCCTGATGTCCATGTCGACTTCTGCAGGAGATGTCCATGCCATTGGGAGGCGGAGGAGAATGTTTGCCGGGTGAAGATCGCCGTGGGCTACGCCGCGGCGGTGCAGATATGTGACACCCAGAGCAATTTGGCCAAATAATCGCCTGACCATGTCCGGAGGGTAACAGTCGTTGTCCCAGAAGCAGCCGATGTAAGACGCAAGAGTCGGGCCGAGCACTTCGCCGACAATGCACTGATGCCGCCCGTTTGGCCCCTCATGAACAAAATGGTCCAGCATCTGACCAACGTGGTTGCTGCCCTCCTCCTGTCCGCTGAAATTGGCTTCCAAGTGCTGGAGAACCGGGAGCTCAGTCACAGATTTCCATGCGGCTATTATCTTGAGCGACTTGTAGGTGCTTGTCTGTGTGTCAAGGACAAGCCAGATTGTCGAGGAGAGGCCGTGGCCCAGCTTGTGGACCACCTGATAGCGTCCGTCGGCAAAAGAGTCGCCGAGATGCACGGGGTGAAAGCCGTTAGGCTCGTAGTTATAAGGACTCTCGGCGTCTATGACGAATTGGAGGTCTGGAGATTCAGAGGTGCTCATGGTGGCGACATAACACTGGCAAGGCTGATGACTAAAGCATAACTCGTAAGCCGCAGACCTGTAATGCAGAACCGTTTTATTGCAAAAAGGGCACTAATACAAACAAACGCAGTCGCAGAGCACCATTGGTAACTTTACAACAATATCAACATCATGAGTCAACGAAGAGTGTCTTTTCCCGAGCTAATTCCCTTCTCTTCTCCTCTCCCACAACGGTCGGTCCACCGATTCTCAATCGGGGAGTTCATACATCGCAAGTATCGACGGTCGAGCTAGCTGATCGCGGGGCTTGAATACGCCTTCGTTCGTCGCCGTGTCGATTCTCCATCGATTCTTGCTGCTGCTGTCGCGCGTCCCAAGGGTCGGTGTGCCGATTCTCGCTTGCTCCGCGCTGAGCCTTGAACTCCTCCAACGGTCGATGGCCCGATTCTCGATTGTGGGACTGGTGACGATTCTCGCTCCAAAAATGGTGTCGTCCTCCAACGGTCGGTCTCCGGTTCTCGATTGGGGTCTCCTTGAAGGGTCGTCACTCCCGATTCTCGCTCGTCCGCTCAGTGGTCCTATGCCCGTTTGTGGGGACAATGCGGGCCACAGTGTTGATGGGTTTGATTCTTGGGTTCTCGATTCCAAAGAGCGTCGTGTCGGTATTCCATGTAGGTGGGAGAAGAATGGAAGGCCACACTTCGTCTTGGTACAGTTCCGAAAGCACAAGCCCGAGCTTGGGCAGGTAACCAGGCCACGAGTTGGAGACATGAATGAGAGTAGTCGGGCGTCCCCAACGTCCTCCATCCTTGCCACCATTGAATCTAATCGTGTTCGTGGAACGGCTTGGTAACCTGCCGAATCTGGATGCGGAGCACTGATAGCATTTCGTCAACAATACCGCCTTTTCGAAGAAATGCAAATAGCACGTACATCTTCGCTGACGAGGGCCACTGGTTATCACAGCGCGGCTTCGTCGTACAAGCGGAATCTGTGAATTGAAATCAGGCGTGGACAGGAAGAGCACAAGACGTGACTTACTACATGATATTTCGCATAGAAAACGATGACTGGCGCCACAATGACCTGGGAATGGTGAGAATTTGGAATAGCCATTGAATCAGACTCACCAGTCGCTGTGCGAAGCAGAGGGCGTGCCAAATATCCCAGGCAATGCCTGCTCGATCAACAATGGCCACCCACAGCTCATGTTTCGCAGCTGCCAACTCGAGAGACTGGGCTGTTTGCCATATTTGGAACCCTCTGGTTGCATGGAGCAGTTCAGGCGGGGGATTCACGAGTGCGAACTGAGAAAGAACGAAACGCAACAGACGCTGCCCAAACGCCATAAGTGAATGATCCATCGAGTATACCACAGACACGAGGACGAGCGTCACAGAGCACAGAAGCCAGATGAATCCACGATAGAGTAGGCTGATGATGATGTTCAGGATGAGCGCATCCCAGTTGTAGAGAATGCGTAGGGCAAAGACCGGAATATGTGTAACAACATACGAGGCAGAAGCGATGGCAAGAACTAAAGCGTGAAGGCTGGCTGGGCCTGTGATCATCTGAAAAAATAGAGCATAAGCGAAACCCTACCTAATGAAGAAACAGTACACACAGCAATATCACTTGTTGTCCATGTGCTTGGGAAAGGTTGGAACACACCCAGTCGCCCAAAACTCGTAGAAATGTTGCGGATTGGCTGTGTACTATCCACATAACACATCAGCCACATCAAGCGACGGTACGACGAGGCATCAAACAACGCGGGCAAGACCAGGGCCGCAAGAATGAAAAGAATCAAGGAAGGCTGGATCTTTTGGAAGATCCTTGACCCACGAATGAGTAGAGGAGCAGCCGTCAGCCAGCACGCATGGCTCAGCACCGCAAACCCTATCATGCGAACATAGCCCAAACCATGAAGGAGAATATGGGCGTAGAAGAAAACAAAGCCGCTTAGACCAGCCGGCCAGGCACGAGTGGCAGCATATTCAGCCACGAGGAAGGCATTTCCTAGCACGGATAGAGGCGAAATGCAGGCCCAGATGCCACTCCCAAACACAGTGGCAACGATGGCCACCCACAATAAGCAAAACACAGAAACTGTATTGCAACACCTTCTCAAAGCCAGGACTGGAATGCAGATGGCTGTGAGGAAGGCAAATGAAAGGGCAAACAGACTGGGGAGGGAAGGAGTCTGGATGAAGAGGGAGGTGGCGGATGGAGGTAAGACGACGTTCGTTGTCGGGGTTGAAACAAGCTTCGAGGAAGCAAGGCCGAGCGGAATGAAAGACTTGGTACCGAGCGCAGCGAAGGACCCAATGATTGTCGAGAACATGGAGGGCAAAGGTCGAAAGACAAGATCTCACTGTCACCACCGTCACACTCCCTACAACATCACAATGATCACCGAGAGAAATGGCGTGCTGAATCTACCGAAGCCCAAGGCGTCTCTGCCCCCCAGCGGGATCGTGGTCGTCCATCCCGCGTACCCAAGGCTTCGTGCCATTATCACTATTCTATGCTTCGCTGCAGCAGACGACCCACCCGGCACCCCGCCTTACGCCTACTACAACATGGTCCTCGACCTGGTCAGCGTGATTGCGTGCAATGCTTCTGGGCTTCTGCGCCGTGTTACCAATCATCCCTCCAACAAACTCCTTGAAGAAGTTGACCTCGAACCCACACAACCACGCCCAGACGGAGCTGTCATTCAAGCCGGTGCCTTCTACGCCTTCGTTATCGAGTCAAAGCCACTAAGTTACCGGTATAACGCCGTCCGTTAGCGCAGATACTGCGTGACTGAACCCCCCCAGCTAGCTATCCACTGAGAAGAAATTTCCTTTCGTGGCACCCACCGGTCCATCTACCGCCACACTGGCCATCTCGAAATGCACCTTTTGACTTTTTGTGCCGCCCCAATCGCCACAAGTTTTCGCTAAAATGTCCCAGTGTGGAATCTCTGATGCAAGACCAGCAAGACAATGGTTGCGTTGTCACGAAGAGGAGCGACCGCAATGCCCTGCAACCGGCGCACATCGTCCCTCATGATCCCGACACTAAGATCTGGGTATGTTCAATATTGTTCCTTATGCGGCTGTCTCATACTTCGCAAGTGGAAGAAACACGCATTGGCGACTGTGGACGATTCGAGAATCGACGGACCGGCCAATATCATTCTACTTGTCGACCACCTCTATGGCCAGGGACTCGATGCAGGCGAATTTTGCTTCTTCCCTGCCCCTGGGTCCACACAGTTTCTCACTATCTTCACCGGGGGTTGTTTGGCTGAGGATGCACTACAATTCAACTTCTCCTGTGCTGACATTCCACCTCGGACACCAACACGGCTCCTATTCTTTGCCTTCGCACGAACGGCATTCATGCTAGCCCACACACATCTGCACGATAGCCTTGTCTTTAAATTCCGGGGCCCTGACAAAGACGACGAGGGCAATGCGTGGGTAGATGCGAGTGAGAATATGCAAGATGACGAGGACAAGAACAATGGCGGTGGCTATAATGAAGCTGGAAATAACGAAGATGGGAGCAATGAAGAGGGCCGAGGCAATGGTGGCGACAAAGACACGACCATCTTCCTTACCATCTGCGGCAACAACTGGGAGGTGGTGATATTCAGATGGGTGATGTGACTTGGCTTGAGGAGTGTGCATCGGCGGGGAGAGGACCGGTTGGCTTGGTCTACTCGACAGTAGTCCCTCACAAGGCGAGAATTGGAGGCGACAGGATCGAGAAGGAGAATGTGGCGGTTCTTCGAAAAGCCGATGGAGGAAACGCTTTGCAGAAGGGTCTAAGGGTCGCAGCTTTCGTCTAGTCAGCCTTGGCGAAAGTCACGGTATATGTGTATTGTATTCCTACTGTGCTTGTAGGTACTAGGTGTAGAGTAAGACTCGTCATATATTTGTACCAATTGATGGCTTGGATGCAATCAACCAACTCGAAGTCTTCACAAGCCACTCCACCGGTCTCAAGCGGTCCTCACCCAGGCACACAGGCTGTCAACGAAGAGCACGATGGACGGCATCTTTCCCTCCCTCCCTCATGTCGATTTCTGAAGACGATCTGCTCGACCTGCACGGAAAAGTTGCTTTGGTTACTGGGGGAAAGTGCGTTGCACCATTGACAATGCCTATAACGAAGCTCAATCCAGTTTTAGTACAGGAATCGGGTATGCGACGATCCAGATGCTTGCGCGGAAGGGCGCTAAGGTACTGTCGTCAACTATTGTTGAATGGCTCTAAACATAGCATGTTGGCAGGTCTATATGGCCGCTCGAGACGAAGGCCGGGCAATCGAGGCCATAAAGAAGCTGGAGGCGGAGAACATCAACGATGGGAGTGTGCATTGGCTGAAACTCGACCTTTCGGACCCACGTTTGACCGTGGGCGCAGCGAAAGAGCTCATGGAGAAGGAGGAAAGGCTGGATATCATTGGTGCGTTGCTCTTCCATATGGTTGGCAAAACGCTCATCGAAAACTTGAAATAGTCAACAACGCTGCTCGGTACATAAGCTATCCTGGCACATTTCTGAGCCGAAACTAACCGCCTCAGAGCACTCCCTGGGCCATACCAGCTGAATAAGGACGGCCTGCTCGATATTATGGTCACCAAGTGCGTCTGCACCGTCATTACTTCCTATCTCAACATGCTCTAGCCATATTTCACACTTTGCCTTGACGCAAACCCTCCTACCCTTATTAGAAGAAACTTCAAAGAGAGACGGCGCAGATGTCAGGATTGTGAACGTGCGTCGTGGCCCAAATCATTATTCTACTCAACTCAAATTGGCCACAGGTCTCGTCTTCTGCTCATGGAATGGTACAACCCTCTTCATTCACATCTTTGGACACGTTCAACAAGGACTATGGGATCTCGGTCACCAACTCGTTGCGAACATATGGTGAGTTTGTCGAATAACCAACTCGATTTATTCTGATTCTGCAGGCAACTCGAAACTTGCCAATGTCCTCTACATGAAGGAGCTGCAGCGCCGCTTAAAGGAAAAGTCGATTGCTATTACCTGCATATCGGCCCACCCTGGAGCCATACGCACAATTGGGTCAGACGGCTTCAGCGAGCTAATTCCAATCATCGGCGGACTGCTCAAGAGATTTTACTTCAAGCCACCACGGATGGGAGCGATGACGGTTGCGTTTGCAGCGGCTGGGGCGAAAGTGGCTGAAGAGAGGTCGAAATATGAAGGCGCTTACCTCGTTCCGATCGCGAAACTTGCCACACCGTCGCCCTCAGCTCAAGACCAGCGCCTACAAAGAGAGCTTTTCGAGGCGACAGAGAAGATTATCGCCGATTTGTCGTCGTAACATGCAATTTTTATTCGTGCTCGGGCCATTGGTCCGTTGTTCACATCATTCACGCCGCGCATCAAGTCAGCATCGGGACAGCCTGAGAGGAGACCAACAATGAATATAAGAGCGAAGCATCAAATTACACAGTCTCCAGATGTCTCAATCCTCTTCCTATATCGGCGCCGCGGTTGTCGTCTCGCTTTGGCTTTGTTCGCGGTACTTTGCATCATCCCACAACAAAGTCACCACCACCAAACTCAATGGGCCTTCGAGCTCCAACTGGCTTCTCGGTCTTTCGCGTTTGATCAGTCAGTCTCCCGACGTTGGTGCCGTTTACGAGGAATGGGCTGCGCAGTATGGCTCCGTCTTTCAGTTCCCCTTCACATTCGGTGAAAAGAAGATTGTCCTCACCGACCCGAAAGCGTTGGTTCACTTCTACACCTCCGAGCGCTCTATTTACGTGAAGACGGAGAACGACCGGTATTTCATTGGGAAAATCGTATGTCTGTTTCAAGCTGGTGTTATTCATGCGTTTTTCAAGCTGCAATCTAGTTTGGACGGGGAGTTCTGTGGGCGGAAGGAGAGATGCACAAAAGGTCTGTCGGCCCTCTTACGTGCTGCATATTACGAGCCGCTCATACTCCGTGTGAAGACAGCGCAAAGCACTCACACCGGCATTCAGCAATGCAGCCATCCGGCGGTTGACTGCTGTCTTCTATGATTCAGCCTACAAGGTGCGTGTCGCGTCTGCCATTTGCGACCAATCACAAACAGCATTTCGGCAGGTCAAGTCGTTGTGGGACGCCACCCTAGAGGCCTCTCCAGAGTCGAGCGCGGTGATTGATGTCCAGGATTGGTTCGCTAGTTTATCTCGCTGCTTTCCCACGCTCACGTCATCAGGATGAATCGTGTCGCGTGAGCCCAACATCTCTGCAATCTCCAATCGAGCCGAAGCTGATCTCGACAATCGCATTTTTAGGCTGGATTCCGTACGCAGCCCTCAGTCCCCTTTTAGACCCTGCTGATCCGTTGTGCAGATCGGTATTGCTGGCTTCTCGCACGATTTTGAGTACATCGCGGGCCAGTCATCGCCGGTAACGCGCGCATTCGAATCCTTCCAGACTATGCCGACGTCGTTCCTCTCGGACATGGTCTTCATTCTCAGCATGAAGTTTCCGTTCATATTGAGTCTTCCGACGGAGCGCATGCGGCTCTTTTGGGAGCTCAACCGGAGCGTCACCGTCATCGCCCAGAAGTTGCTTGCCAGTACGAGGCGGGAGAAAGAGAGCAATGTTGCAGAAGAGTTCACGGACAAGTCGGTCATCGGTTTATTGCGTGAGTTGCGTATCCGTAGAAGGAAATGTGTACTGATTTGTTCCTCAGTCAAATCGGAGATGGCTGCCGGTCAGCTGCATATGACGCAGGAGGAAATTGTGGCACAGGTGAGTCTCTCCCATCCAATAAGTGTCGTGATAAATCAATATTCAAAACAGATGGTGCGTGAAGTTCTGGTGTTTAGCCTTGTCTTATTTGTTCTGCAAAGAACGTTCTTCTGTTAGCAGGTGATGCTCTCCCTTCCTGTACACATCGGTATGTTAACTTGTCACTACAGGCTATGAAACGACTTCAGGTACGTCTGCATGTCGCTACTCTATCACTCTTTCTGATAGTCGTTTCTAGTCAGCCTTACGGTATGCCGACTCTTATTGATTCCATTGTGCCTATACCTTTGCACAGTGGGCCCTTATTGAGCTGTGCAAACACACGGATATTCAAGACAAGCTTCGCAAGGAATTGTCGCGCTTCAACACCAGCGACCCCACGTGGGACCAGCTCATGTCTTCCGAACTGCCATATCTCGATGCTGTGGTGCAAGAGACCCTTCGCCTTCATCCATCTGTCGTTGAGACTCTTCGTGTGGTAAGCTGTTTTTTGGACTCGTTTCCTATCACTCGTCAACTGTTTCATCAGGCTTCCTGTGACGATGTCATCCCGCTGAGTACACCTATTGTCGATGCGGCGGGCAACACCGTAGCGAGTATCACCGTCGCGAAGGGCACCCCCATTCTTGCTCCGATTCGCTCGGTCAATCGCTCTGAAGCTCTGTGGGGTAAAGACGCGAAGGAGTTCATTCCAGAACGGTGGTTCTCAAATATCGATGTACCTGCGAAAGAACTGCAAGGGTATCGCCATTTGCTGACGTTCCATGATGGGCCGAGAACCTGTTTGGGCAAAGCATTTGCATTGGGTATGTGTTATCGTGTTGCTGGGACAAGTTAAAGCTAAACGAACGGTCTGATAGCTGAATTCAAGGCTTGTCTTCCCCCATTTATGTGTGTGTTTATTGCTAATTTTTGTGCGCAGTCGGTTCTTTCGGTTCTGGTCCGTAACTACGTCTTCGAGTTCGAGTCTCCGGATGTTGTGATTGAGAACCACGTCGCGATTGTCCCGCGTCCGAGGATTGCAGGGGAAACTGGAACGAGGGTGCCTCTTCGGGTGAAGAGAGCGGAGTAAGACTCAGGCTGGATGATATGGCATACCCTTTTGTCTACCACCCACGAGGAAATCGATCGAATGCGTTCTACCAATCGCTGCACTGTCCGTTGCACTGCCAAAATGTCGGACCACTAACCGAGACCTATATATAGCAGCTTATAGCAGTGACCGAGCTCTCTTTTCCCCCAAACTTCTATAACCGTTATTCGATGCCACAACTCGCTCCCTTCCTCTCCCTGGCCGATGCCGCGGTCTTCCCAGGCTTCCTAGACGTGGGCAACGGTCAACAGGTCCCACACCTTGATGCACGCATGACCACGAGCAGTTTCGACAACGAGTCTTGGGACCCAATAGTCATTCGCCTTTTTATCGCGATGATTCGTGCGTATGCAACCAAGAAGCAGCTTCCCCAACTGACAACTTCCGTCTTCTCTCAAGTGTTTAGCGCTATCCTCCAGCTCGTGGTTATCGTCGTTGGCGCCGCATTCGAGGGTCAGCCTACTAACCGTCGCCGCCTCAGACGCCAGTACAATCTCCCCGCTTCGGTATCGTCTGGACTACAGGTCATGAGCGCATCGGTTTCACAATGGCGTTATCGAGCTCCTCCCCCAGCTATCGAAATCACTCTTCCCATCCATATAACACGGGCACAACGTGAAGCTCAAGTTGAAACCAACGACTTGGGGATTTCAAACGGACTTCATAACCCATCTGAAGATGTCCCATTCGACGATAACGCTCCCCCCACCGCGCTCGACCCGAATTTCAGGGAGGCGGCGGTTTCCGCAGCTGCTGTCACGGTGTTCGGCGGTGGCGACGGCGACGGCGGCTCGGGCCGGACCGAAAATCACCCCCCAGGAGAAGCAGATTTGTCGGATATGCAGGCTACCGAAGTGGACTGGGAGGAAGAATATGACCGCGAGACGCTCTATCCGATCTCCATGCACTCCAGCACGTCCACTTTCTGCCCGGTTACTTCTCGGTTTCCCGTTCCTAGAGCTTGATCGGTGTTTCCTTGTCTGGTCTTCTGGCTCCGTATACCTTTGGCCCACTCCTCACCGTATACCACTTTCTTTGGCCCACACGGACACTCATCGGTATCCAACAATCGCATACTAATGACTTTACACAAAAACTGTATGAATTAAGTACTTACTTGACCCAGAGACTACGTAGAATCTGGATCTGTCCATGTATTTTTTAGATATCTTATGGGTACTTATGCCTTGAATTTCCGGGCTCGTCTTCCCGGCGCTTGTCTTAATTTTTTTGCTCATTTTCGAGCTCCAGTAGGTGCATTCAAAGGCCGAGGTTATCGGATCTATCGGTCACATCGGGGATCAGGCCATCATGATGTCAACGTCTTCACAGCTCTTCCCGACGACGAGCAGACAACGAGGAAATTCACGGCCACTCTGGGAACTGGGGCTCTTGTCGTGCTCCTTCTGTGCCTTGCAGGTCAAGGTGCGTATAGGTCTTCTCTCTCTCTAACCAAGTTGCTGAGCCATGAATGATCTCATAGAGATGCAGTGTTTAAATCCAAGTTGCAATGGTCATCTGGCGGTGGCCACTTGGATTATGAGCTCGACGGGCCTCATAGATCGTTTCCTGCCCCGCGCCTCAACTAGGAACAACGGACAAGGAGTAGTGAGTCGCATCATGCATCTAGTGGTATAAGCCCATAACGCGCTACTTCGAGACCTCCACTCGAACTGCTCTAGAGTACTTTCGATGGCCAGCTGGGGTACCCAATCCAGAATGCCGCACTATCCCAAAGAAGACTTAGCTTCATTGAATCGGTGGGAGGGATCAGTCGCGGAGATTGAACCTGGGCTGATTTCTCCATAACAGCTACTGCACCAAATCGACAGCGGCGTTGATTCTGATATGGACTGTTTACCCGTAATGCTGGGAGCTGTTCCTTTATACTCGGCCCGACTCCGAGCTTAGCTGGCTGTTGTGCTCAGGCTGTTCTCTCAACTATAAGTTTTGGTGAGCCTTCCGCGTTTGCCTGTCTCAAAATAAGAGTTGTTCAGGCTTTGTGCGGGAATGAACCTGCTATGAAAGGGTCGCCACGGATGCCAAGAACAAATATAGTCCACCATTCAGGAAGTTGCTGTCAGGAGAACGAGTTGCGAGGTAAAGATAGACCCACCGCTTTCGTACTACCTCGACGTATAAGCTTAGGCAGGCGCCTCTTCGTTCCTGCTTTCCCTCACACCATCCAATGGTCTCGGCGTTTCCGTGCGTGAATCCTGACCCAACATTGCGCTGATCTATATGTCGAAGATAGCGGCTGGACAACGTGGAACACACTCGCAGCTACTCCATATTACACCCGTTTTTCGCCCGTTCTCAGCCAGAACGAAGGGGAAGAGGGAAGCGCGGCTGTCCGACTCGAACCTCCCAACCGACCGCTGTTGGTCGTTGATGATGTCCGGCTGTGTACCCTGGCAGAGAAGGGCGTACAATCAACATATTCTTCAGACGAGATCCACGTGCTCCAATCTGGTATTTCTCTCCTCGTCTTCCACTCGTCACAGACGGCCTTTTACTGGAATCGACCTCGCGAGAGTGCAAGGAAAAAACGGACGTTGTATTGGCGGTACATTGCGACCCACAATGCACACCCAGCACGCATTTTTTCCGAGAAGCTCCCGCAGACTTGGAAGCTTGCCTCGGTGTACCTCAAGTGGTGCTCTTTAGGTGCTAAATTTTCCCTTCGTCCCGTCATTGCTGACAAATTACGTCAAGGAGCGCTAACTTCATTGAACTCCAAAGTCAAGATACCGTATTCACTCAGGCATAGCCAAGAACTCACCAGCCTGCTTGATTCTCTTGGAGAGCCGCGGCCTTCATCGCAAATGCACTCGGATTGGGAGCGACTGGCTGAGGACACGAGGGACCCGATCGCGGAGAGCAGTCTGCGGTTGTGGAATCAACAGTCGCCAGGAATAGAAAGAAGCGCGGAAGAGACGGGCGAGGACATCATCCTCGCGGAGAACGCTGATGAGGAGACGCGCAAACTGCAGATTTCCATCATTGCTAGCGTGCTCGTCGAGAAATGTATGCCCCACTCGATTCTTGTCGCAGTCGGCTCATAAGCTACCCCAAGATACCCACCAGGCCGCCGAAGAGACTATTTCGGAAGCGTATTCATCGCCTGCAAGATCGAAAGTCATGAATGGGCTTTTTTGGACCTTAAATTATCTTACTCTGGGGGCATTCCTCCGATATCACCATCGACTGGCAGAAGTGCGGTCAGCTATAATCACGGACGAACAGTGGCGGAGTCATATCTTACAACTGGTCAAGGAGTGGGAGGAGTTCAATCTCATCGTGAGTTTCTAAGTTCCGTGTTTTACTGCCAAGCACAACCTCATCAGTTTGTCGCAGTCCACGGTGCTACTTTCGTGAGTCGCAACAACCCACCAAGTCCATTCAACTGACACGCTGTAGAGCATCAGCGGGAATTCTCGCGCTTCCTAGCGTTCAAGGGGTCCCAAGAACCGCAATATTAATATCAATTCTTGGCTCATTCGCAAGTGTCACAAGCGGGTTATACTGCATTTCCATGTACCAGGTCCGCACCAAGGACGAGCGCTCAAACGAGCGCACTAATGACATGGACAAGGTACGTGGTAAAACATTCAGTTCCTTCAAAAAAGTTGACCATTCTAGTTCAACTACAGCGAATACACCTCCGACAACAAGACTGTTTCGCTCGTGCTTGGTCTACCCATGGCATTCCTCGTCTGGGCGCTTGTCGCCTTCACCGTTGGCATCTTGTCGTACAACGTCGTCGCCACCAAAACGGCCGGGCGTGTTTCGGATGTCGCCTATGCAGTTATAGCGGTCGCGATCGTGATGCTGATCCTGCTTGTACTCGCATTGTACAGCCTTTCGAGCCTGTGGGGCGTTATTGATGGGCATTCTCGTGCTCGAAGGTTTTTCCGATTTGTGTTGGGGAGGCGGGCAGGCAAAGGGGGAGCGGGCAAGCTGGATGAGTCGAGTAGGGAAGGTCTGGAGATAGTGAGGGCGGTTTCGCCGAAAGTCAGGGTTCCTGTTTGATGTGGGCGAGGGACTATATTGCTATTCGCTTTCGTTTTGCTTTCGTTTTTCGTTCTGCTTTCGTTACCAGAGCATTAAAATCGATGTGCTCAAGCCGCTGACATGAAATAGAGATTAATCTTATTAAGTTTCTCCAGTTACCAAATCCAGAAGGTATACTAGTAGTAGTAGGGAAGAAGAGTGTACATGGCTGAAAAAAATCAACGACTACTCATGCGAGAGATTTGATTGTCTGAATGAGAGCCCAAACTGCTATACCCAGTGCTGGATGCTGGTGGCTGGTCAGCGGAGAAGTCGCGACCAGGGACGAAAATCTGGTGGTGGAAAGTTTGCAGTCGCGGGTCATTAGAAGGGAGCGTTGCCACGCCGTGTGCCGTCCAGCCATCCAGGGACAGCCATTCCTCCGTGTTGGGCGAAATAAGGGACATGACTGATGCTCTGGTGATTTGTGAGTCAGAAGTCTCGCTTTTACCAAGTGAAAAGAAGGTAGTTTACTTGTGCCGTGGAAGGGGAATAACCTCATCGGTGCTCCTCAGGTTGCCCAGCAGCGTTGCGAGGATGAATGTCTTCCCCCCATCTTTCTCCACCAAATAGAGGTCTGAATCCGAGCCATCATTTGCAGGCCCGCCATCCCACTGGACGTAGACGTGGGAGTCGGAGCGGCGGGCAAGGGCTATTTGCGAGACGACGAAGGTCCGCGTGACCTGGGCATGGGAGGTTGAGGTGTATAACAGCGGCAGTTTATCTGGCTTCAAAGCACGGCCACTCGGGACACACCAATACCTGATGAGAATGTCTAGGTGCCCCAGCGAATCTCGTATTCAACTAAATCAAAAGTCTTGCACTCAGAATAAAGCCATACCTGGCACAAAATGAATAATGCGACGAAGACCAGACGGCTGCCGGATCGTCCGAAATTTGAGGGGTCCATAGATTGAGCTGAAACGCTGTTCGTCCATTTCTGCCACTGCGATATTCTCGTCGACATAGTTCTGTTGCGCGGGTAATCAGACAACAACTCAAATTGTGTATATTATACTCGTCAGACCTTGAAGAAGCGCATCAGCTTTGAAAGCGAATTAAAGGGGATGGTGGTGTCGATGGTGGATCCATTCGAGTTCGAGTCTGGTTCGCTGGGAAACGTGGCGAGACTAATGATCTCTGTATCTTCACTGGCAGAGCTCAAAAACTTGTCGAGAAGTTTGCCGCATACGATATATTGAGCGATCTGACGGACTTGTGCGTTATTGGGAAGCGATGCGGAGTTGGCAATGGTGACAATCTCTGGCTTAATGAAACAAGTTAAGTTGCCTCTGAAAAAGCTCGTAGTCGCGTACAATTAGTTTGAGCATAGTCTTCATGGGAGACCGTCCCCGAACTTTGGCAAGGTATCCAGACTGCGACTGGAAATCGGTAATCGCTCTTTTGATTTTCTGGTTGGTCTCAGCTACGTCTTTCTGGCGGGCTTCTGCAATAAGTTGAGATAGCTTCGCGTGCGAGAGCGAGTTTCGTAGTTGGCTGCCTGGGCCATCATTAATGCCTGTGCGACCGCGAGAGACTGGACTCACCAAGCAGCTCTAGGATAATTTGGAGCTCCTTCTGACTTTCTGCGTACTTGTACCACGCTGCAAGATGCCCGCAATAAAGTGTCCGCTGTAAAATTTGCACGTTTCGCTGGCAAATCGTCAACTACAAGTACCTTCCACAAACCACGAGAGTTTCAAGCTTACATCTGCCTGCTCGATCTGGGCGAAGAATTCGTCTTGCTCCCAAGCCGTGAGCTCTTTTCTTTGGATTCGCGGGATTCCCTCCGTTTTTAGCTCCGTCAGCAGCTCGGACATGAGCTTGGCTTGTTTGGGGTGATAGCGGTGGATGTTCTTCACCGCATCGCACTCGGGATTTGCGAGCAGCTTGAGCAGGTCGCTGGTGGTGCGGAGCTCCTTCGCGTTGGTGACCTCGTAGGGACCGAGGTCCATCGTTTGAGAAAGGCGCTGAGACTGAAGCCGAACCCGCTGGTTATAAACGCCCGCGCGTCTGTTGCCATTCAGGAATGGGTGGCTTCTTGTCGCACAAGTGTCCAACTGCCAGATCGGTGACCAACAAGAACTGTGAGGAGCATCAAAAAATCGGATTCATTGCATGTGCTCTACCGACTCGGCCACTAACAAGCGGAATGTGGGGGGGAGATTGGAGCGGAGACTGAGCGGAGAGGGTGAAGCTCACGTCGCAGGATTCTGATCGGAGTACAGTAGTCAGACCAATCATTTAAAGTGACGGTACATGTAACTTACTACAGGAAGCAGGTCGGGTGCCAATAGCGGCCGTTAAGCGCCCAGTTCGAGTGAATGTAGTGGGGGGAATGTAAGTGATAGCTGTTGAGGTGATTTTGGAACGGGACGCCACTGGCACGTAGCCAAACAAGCCGGACTCCAAGATGTTTACTTGGGTCCACGAAGATTCAAGTTGTGGTGAACGAACTATTTCACGTTGATATTTCCTGAAGAGCAGAGCCAGGGACATGAAGCACAGACCGACAACTGTAAAGCGTTAATAATAAGCCAGGTCCACCCAAACAATAAGTTACGCGCCAAAATTGAAAATTGTAATTCTTTGTAATTTCAGTTGCTGTTAAGGTGGTGCAAAGCTGTATCCGTCAAAGTAAGATGCTCTCTATCCATAGTATATCGCCGGAGTTTCTACAGGACTTGAGAGACTTCGAACACACAGAAACTTGGAATGAGAGGTGTGTGACAGCGCCTGTGACGTTGTGTGACATCCCCCCCGATGTCACATCAACGTTCCTCGCTTGCACTCATGAACAGGTGTCAACTCTTCAATCCACAACCCCCGATTTTCGCCACTTTCCATGCCTTTTGGGATTGAAAAAGTTTTCCGTCGCAGCCAGCCTTCCGAGGGCATCTTGGACAAGCACAACGCCACTCGTAATGTTCCACAGTGGACCAAGACAGCCAACCCCGAATTCTTTCCTACTTCGTGCTCCGTCTCTGTCATTGAACCCGTCATCTCGAATACCATTGTTCTCGGCTATCTACTTCTTACTATCGTTTGCGTGTGGCTCAGTCTGGCACCGCACAACTTCAAGAGAAGGCGACGTGGGTGGAGTGTATATGCTGTCCTGGCCGTATCCGCCGTAATCAGGATGTGTCCGCTTGACTGGACTGCCCCATCCCTTTCCAGCATCCTCAGCTATGCATTTAGTGTGGTGCCCCAGCTCTGCACCCATGAACTCTTTTTCGGACTCACAAGCCATCTTTTGTGTTTCCTGTGTGCTCAACTCGTGTTCCATTTGCACCAACGACTTCCGCCCACCCATCCCGACACTGTTTTTGTACATATGTTGATCTGGGTCATCCCACTCGCCATCAATATGACCAGCGCTAATTTGAATCGGACTTTCTGGCTACTCTATCAAACGGGATGTAACATCAGGACATTACCCACCGTCAGCCAGCTTCGTTATGGCATTCTTCGTTTGCACGAACTTTGTGTCCTTCCATCAACGCTCGGTCAAGCAAATAAAACGGTATGATTACCTTGTCCGGCTCGGGAGTCCTTTAATAACACATTTGCAGATCATCCATGGGTCTCTACTCGCCAATCTTCTCATATTTGGCATCTGCCTTGCGCTCTCCAACCTTCACAGAGCAGCACGCGTAATGACCGCCGCCTACAAGTTACTTCGGCGAAATCCGACTCGTTGCTTGATCCTCTGTTCCTTCTCAACCATCGCATGGTGCCTCGTCTTTGGGGTGACTTGTGCCTTACAGTTGGCAAATGCGAGGCGTCCAAGTCATATAGCGCTGGTGAAAAGTATCCTATTTCGGCCCACATCGCACGCGCAGACAAGAGCCATCTGGAATGACATAATGGGCAGGCTAGAAGCATTCAGAATTGTGCAACGATGGGACTTGGACTACCTGATCCTGGAACGAAGGCGAGCAGTTTTGGCGTGTTTGGGCGGTTGCTATGCGGACTGGAGCACCCTAGCGTGGACACACAAACTCGTCAGTCTTTTGTCTCTCTGATAGTATTAACTAACCGGTCAGCAGATTGTAACTCTGCCGGCGGTGGTCTTCTATGGCCAAGCATATCTTGTTCGTTCTCTCTTTGGCATTGACAATTCCCCATACTTATCATCATTGTGTTGTAGCTCCCATTGATTCAGCACCGTCGCAGACGGCAGAGAGCATGTGCGTTGTTTGTTTTTCTATGGTTTGTATCCTCATTGTCTCACAGAAATCGACATGATGTAGTCTCGACGAAAACAGCAACGAACGACAGTATCATTCGGAATCGCGCAGGACCCCATTCTGCCAAGTTTTTTTGACGACGGAACGATACAGCAAATGAGCCTGTTGGGGACGCCCACTTTTTCTCAATCCAGCTGGACTCGAGCCGTCTCTGAAACTCTGGAGCAATTCCTGCTCTTTTCTGATATGCTGCGCGATTGCGTCTTTCGTCAAACAACCCATACACATCAAGAGCAACAAGTGTTTCTTTACGCCTTCCTCTCTCTCTCTCTCTCTCTTTCTTTTTGCCGTCTCTCTCTCTCTCTCTTCCAGTTTTTTTCGGTCTGGCTCAGTATGGTTGCCAGGGGTATGTTCGTCTCCAATTTGATGCTTCCGTCTCAACAATGAACCAGTGTCCATATGTCAACCGAGATGCGAGAATACCGACCAGCACCATCCTACAATCGAGAATATGCCACCAACCGTTGGAGGAGTTCAAGTCAAAGTGCGGATCGGAAAACCGACCCTTGGGAAGCGACAGCAGCAAGTTTCGATTGAGAATCGACACGGCGACGAACAAAGGCGTATTACTCATGCCCCGTACGAACTCCCCCGATTGAGAATTGGTGGACCGACCATTGTAGGAGGGAAGAGCAGGTTTGTGCTCTGTCTTGAATCGGAAAGAGCAGGTTGCACTGCTCTTTTGCGAAAATTTGACATCGACTGAGAATGAGGGTCACCAATGGTGCTCTCCGACAATCGATGTCGGTGTATAGTAGAGTTTGTCGTAGTTTTTTCTCCTTTTGGAATCAATGACCGTTCTCTGAAAACAATTGCGCTTGGAGGCGTGCGACTGGCTTGTGACTAAGTGTGTGACTCCAGCGTGTCACACGACTCTACTAGACGTCGACCCAAACAGTGAAGGCCCGACTCCCCACTCTCCCAAGCACTACTCATAGCATTAGGGATTGGAGCGGCTTCTTTAAACCAGATCGTCAAGGCAACGAGGACATGTATGATGCAGGCCACGACCGCCATACTCAGCTATCTTTTCTTCACGATGTTTGGCGTGTGGCTCAGCCTTAAACCACACAAGGGCGGGCGACGCGGCTGGAGCTTGGGTGCTGTGATTGCCACATATACCGTCATCAAGAGATTCCCAATTGAATTCGATTTCCCCTCAATTCCCCGCACGCTCAGCTCCGTGTTCAGTCTGTTCCGCGAGGACGCGTTCTCCGAGCTGCGCGAAACGGCTGGTCCAGACCCCGTACTACTGGGACTCGCGAGCCATCTCGTGTGCTTCATGGTGGCTCACTTTTCGCGCCGTGTTTATCGTTCCATGCACCTTCAATTTGATGTCCACGTATCGGTTTGGGTCATCCCCCTCGCTGTCAACCTATCGCACGCTCGTTTGAATGGGACCTTCTGGCTGCTCTATCAAGTGGGATGCGTTGGTCGATTTTTTCCTTCCGTCAGACAACTGCGTCGTGGCATTCTCTATATCGGCCAGCTCTCTATTGCGCCCACGGTCGGTGAGGCCAACGCAAAGGTAGGCGCTCCCAATCATTATGGGACACTTTTTAACAGCAGCCTACAGGTTATAGCTGGGTCGATACTGGCCAACACCATTGTATTCGGCATCGACAGCGTTGTCCGCGTGTCGCGGATATTGCCAGTCGCCTCCCCTCACCTCTTTCGTCTGTATCCGCTCGTTGAATGCATGGCCCTTTGCGCGTTTTTCACTGGCGCATGGTGTATTTTCTTTCCAGTTTTCTGCGCCATGCAGCTGTCGGTCTCGCCCCACCCAAGCCACCAAGCCCTCTTCCGGCACCTCATGTCTCGGCCAACGCTAGCGTGGCATGCGCGGACGAGAGACCTCTGGGGGCATGTCATGAGCGACCTAGATGCGTTTCAAATTGTGCAGAGATGGGACTTCGACTACCTGCTGCTGGAGCGGCGGCGCGTGTTTGCGGCGTGGCTGGAGAGTTTGCCCGTCCAATGGTCTGCTTTACCCGGGACACACAAATTGGTCGGTTCGCTGCTCCGCTGAGTGTCGCGCTAACATGATTAAAGGTCGTCATTTTACCAGCGGTGGTGTTCCATGCCACACCATACATTGTTATTCCGCCTCTTTTCGACTCCCATGATACTTAGGAACTTTTCAGATGCCCATGATCGGACACATGCCAGGGGAAAACGAGATAAAGTATGCTCGCTGACTCAACATTCGCAATAACATCAAACCCGGGCCATGGAAGTTGCCATGATGTGGTTGCGGTATCCACGAAGCAATTGCAAACGAAAGTGTTATCCGAATTTAGGGAACCCTTTCCCCAAGTTAGGCTCAGTTAGCTGGATCGAAGGCATATATTCAAAGTTTGGGGAGCAGGTTTGTGGTTCGCATCTTGCAAAGCCTTCATTTAACTCTGACTGCGTGTTTTGTAGACGTGTTTCAGAATTGTGAGATAACAAGTCCGGTTTCTGCTTCTTGTACACTGGCAACTCCGAAGTCGATGGAAGTTCAAGGGTTAGAGTCACCAATGGCACCCATGCTTGATTCAAGTTGTACTTGTCGGTGCACCAGAGTTTATCACGGTTTTGGTTCAAATACAATATATTGTGGCTGGAAACGATCTGGCTCCGATAAGCAAAAGGAGAGATCTTAAAAGAATCGCGAGTAGCAGTCGAATCTCAGCTTCCAGTCACGTGATCGCAACTTGATTAGATTAGATTAAGTATTTTATTTAAATCTATTGAGCAGAAATTTAAAGAGTGTGGTTCGTGTATGACAAGCGGCGGGCCCCCTTCTACTCCACCCTCCTCACGCGGAGCGGTATCTGTGTACCCGGTAGGCCGACGACCTTTGGCCGGAGGACAATCGCGACGTGGTTTTCGATGACAACGTTTGGATCGTCGAACTCAAAGGTGTAGTTGCGGACAAGGACGGAGAGGACGGACTGTAAGAAGGTGGTTCAGCCGGTATAATCGGGAAAAACGGAGAAGAACGAGCCTTGAATTCAGCTACAGACAATTAGTCAGCTTGACCCGTCTACCAAATGGGGTATGTGCACGTACCCAATGCGAACGCCTTGCCCAGACATATGCGCGGGCCGTCGTGGAAGGTGAGCAGGTGGCGGTGCCCCTGCAGCTCTTTCGCGGGCACGTCGATCTCGGAAAACCACCGCTCGGGGATGAACTCCTTTGCGTCTTTGCCCCACAGCGCTTCAGAGCGGTTGAGCGTCCGGATCGGCGCGAGGATGTGTGTGCCCTTGGCCACGGTGATGCTCGTTATCGTTTTACCAGACGCGTCGACGATGGGTGTGCCGAGGGGGATTACATCGTCGCATTGGGCCTGGAGAAACTTTTCAGCGAGGCTACGAGAAAAAACAAGCGGCTTACCACGCGGAGCGTCTCGATGATGGACGGGTGGACGCGGAGTGTCTCTTGCGCCACGGCGTCGAGGTAGGGCAGCTCCGTCGCTGACGTGAGCTGATCCCAAGTCGGGTCGCTGGTGTTAAAGCGCGACAGTTCTTCCCGTAGCTTGTTCTGGATTTCCGGGTGGAGCGCAAGTTCAATGAGGGCCCACTGCAAAGGGTTAGTGGAGCGCATGATCAGCTGGGGCGGCGTACCGTAAGGCTGACTGCAGCGCAGTGTTACTCAAGTCAATAATAACTTGGAGACATACCTGAGGTCGTTTCATAGCCTACAACACGGTCAGACGATCACAATTGCAACGACGGAGAGCATACCCGCTAACAGAAGCACGTTCTGATAAAAGATAAGCAAGTTCAAATGGTAAGACTAGGACGCACCATCTGCGCCAAAACCTCGTCCTGCTCCAGATGCAGCTGGCCAGTCGCCATCTCCGACTTGACTGTTGAAAAGAGTCAGCCTGCGACTACTCATGGATTGCCACGCACGCAGAAGTCCGATGACCGATTTGTCGGTAAACTCTTCGGCCACATTGCTCTCCTTCTCTTTCCGCGTGCTCTCGTATAACTTGTTGGCAATGACACTCATGCTCCGGTTGAGGTCCCAGAAGAGGCGCATCCGCTCCGTCGGGAGGCTCAGCAGGAACGGGAACTTCATGCTGACAACCGTGACTATGTCGGCGAGAAGCGAGACCGGCATCGTCGAGAACGACTCCAGCACGTCCGTGACGGGCGAGGACTTGCTCGCAAGGTACTCGAAGTCATGAGAAAAGCCAGCGATACCAATCTGTTTGACAGATTAGCACAAATTGGAAAAACTAAATGAAGGGAGATTTGCGCACGGAATCAAGTCTAGAAAGCAGGCCGTCGACATCAGCTCCGGCGCGATTGTAGCTTGGCTGCTCACGCGACACGGTTCATCCTGTGATGCTGATGTAAGCGGAGGCAAAAAAAAAAGTGAAATGGCGGACCAATTTTGTACTTCGATCACAGTGCTCGAATCTGAAGATGATTCGAGTTCCGCGTCCCAGAACGATTTGAGCTGGTGGAGTCGCGTTTGTGATTTGTCCCGAATAGCAGGCTTGACACACACCTTGTAAGCTGAATCATAGAACACGGAGGTCAGCCGCCTGATGGCTGCATTGCTGAACGCCGGCGTGAGTGCCTTGCGTTGTCTTCATAACAGAAAATCAATGACTGATGATATTTAGGGCCGGACATACCTTTTGTGCGTCTCTCCTTCCGCCCACAGAACGCCCCGCCCGAACTAAATGCACGTGAGGAGAGGCAGGTAAGCCAAGAGCACCATACCAGCTTCCCGACGAAGTACCGGTCGCCCTCCGGCCTGACATATACCGTGCGCTCGGAGGTGTAGAAGTGGACAAGCGCTTTCGGGTCGGTGAGGACAATCTTCTTGTCGCCAAATGTCACGGGAAACTGGAAGACGGCCCCAAAGCGGGAGGCCCACTCCTCGTAGAGCGCACCGACATCGGGAGATTGGCCCACAAGATGCGAAACACCCAGCAGCCAGCTGGTCCCCGCGGGCCCGTTGAGCTTGGTGGTTTTGACTTTGCTGGACGACAGGTAGCGCGAGCAGAGCCAGAGGGAGACGATTACTGCGGCGCCGATGTAGGTAGAGGATGGAGACATTATAGAGGGTTTCTGATGCTTTTGGCTCTTATAATCCAGCACGTTCTCCTCTCAGGCTGTCGGCATAGCGTATCGATGCTGACGCGCCGCGCGCCGTGGACAGTTGGGGACTGCTTGCGGGCGAGTAAGCACGGTTGATATCCGAGTGTCGAGAAGAAGAAGCCCAGCGACGATCCTTCCCGGAACCGCAGAAAGAGCTTCTATATGACGGCGTTGGTCTTCAGTCTTCAGCAGCTGCAGCTATCGCCTAATTGACACCAAGTAGCAATCGAACTGTGCACCTTCGTGTTGTGTCCTCTCTCCAGCGAAATGCCGCGGACGTAATTGTTGTGGCCCAGTTTTCGGGAGAAGATAGTTTGAGCCAATGTACCGATGATCGGCGCTGGAGCATCGAAACCGTCAGAGTCGCAGCCCCCAAGATCTATGATTGAAGGCGCCAGGCGCAAGCCAAGCCGAGTGGACTGCGAGAGGGTATGCCACATCGTGAAACCCAGCTTCCGTTGTGAATTTTGAGTGATTAAAGTGATCCGGAGGAATGTCGACAAATGACCGTACAATAGACTTGAGAGATAAATTGGAGCGGGACACGCTTGTCGACCAGAAGGAATGCGGTCATACTGGCCACCTGGGAAAGGATAACGAGGGAGGCTCTCTCCCGTCGAAGTCAACGAGCCGTGACACGTAATCCCGCCGGCACATGATCAAATCAGACGAACGTCAGCATCCCGCCACGATACGTAGCGCTGGCTGATGTCCATGGTTCAAAGGAGCTCTGCAGTTGCTCTGGAGACGACCAAAGAGTAGAGACATTGATTGTGATGACGATGAACTGATATTCTACAGCTCAGACCTTGTCGATGCATCATGTTGTCGTCTTTCCGGCTCCGAGTCGTCGGCATCGTCCTGATGAGTAGGCAACTGCAAGCAATCCATCGTCCCGATTTGGGCATTCCCCGGGTCACGCACACTCGGATGCGCCACGGCCCAATCGTGTTTTTGTTGCATAGCATGCTCGAATCCTGGGTACCACCTCTCGGCAACAAAGTACCCTCTTTTTCGCAGCGCCTCCACACGCCGCGCCAGCTCATAGTACTCCCGAAGACCCTCCTTCGTGAACACAGAGTCAAGGTCGGAGTCAGACATATCTGTGTCCAGGGCCGATTGATTTTTCTTATTCGGCCGCTCCCCCCGGGCCTGCTGAGACGTTTCCCGTTTCCGCTTGGCTGGTTTGCTGTCTTTGTCGCCACCATTGCCTCGGCCCTCTTCATTGCTCCCATCTTCGTTATTTCCAGCTTCATTATAGCCACCGCCATTGTTCTTGTCCTCGTCATCTTGCATATTCTCACTCGCATCTACCCACGCATTGCCCTCGTCGTCTTTGTCAGGGCCCCGGAATTTAAAGACAAGGCTATCGTGCAGATGTGTGTGAGCCAGCATGAATGCCGTTCGTGCAAAGGCAAAGAAAAGGAGTCGTGTTGGTGTCCGAGGTGGGAAGTCAGCAGAGGAGAAGTTGAATTGCAGTGCGTCCTCAGCCAAACAACCCCCGGTGAAGATAGTGAGAAACTGTGTGGACCCAGGGGCAGGGAAGAAGCAAAATTCGCCTGCATCGAGTCCCTGGCCATAAGAGGTGGTCGACAAGTAGAATGATATTGGCCGGTCCGTCGATTCTCGAATCGTCCACAGTCGCCAATGCGTGTTTCTTCCACTTGCGAAGTATGAGACAGCCGCATAAGGGACAATATTGAACATACCCAGATCTTAGTGTCGGGATCATGAGGGACGATGTGCGCCGGTTGCAGGGCATTGCGGTCGCTCCTCTTTGTGACAACGCAACCATTGTCTTGCTGGTCTTGCATCAGAGATTCCACACTGGGACATTTTAGCGAAAACTTGTGGCGATTGGGGCGCCATAAAAAGTCAAAAGGTGCATTTCGAGATGGCCAGTGTGGCGGTAGATGGACCGGTGGATGCCACGAAAGGAAATTTCTTCTCAGTGGATACCTAGCTGGAGGGTTCAGTCACGCAGTAAATGCGCTAACTGACGGCGTTATACCGGTGACTTAGTGGCTTTGACTCGATAACGAAGGCGTAGAAGGCACCGGCTTGAATGACAGCTCCGTCCGGGCGTGGTTGTGCGGGTTCGAGGTCAAGTTCTTCAAGGAGTTTGTTGGAGGGATGATTAGTCACACGACGCAGAACCCCAGAAGCATTGCACGCAATCACGCTGACCAGGTCGAGGACCATGTTGTAGTAGGCGTAAGGCGGGGTGCCGGGTGGGTCGTCTGCTGCGGCGAAGCATGGAATAGTGATAATGGCACGAAGCCTTGGGTACGCGGGATGGACGACCACGATCCCGCTGGGGGGCAGAGACGCCTTGGGCTTCGGTAGATTCAGCACGCCATTTCTCTCGGTGATCATCGTGATGTTGCAGGGAGTGTGACTGTGACTGTGACTTGTCTTTCGACTTTGCCCTCCATGTTCTCGATAATCATTGGGTCCTTTGCTGCGCTCGGTACCAAGTGCTTCATTCCGCTCGGCCTTGCTTCCTCGAAGCTTGTTCCAACCCCGACAACGAACGTCGTCTTACCTCCATCCGCCACTTCCCTCTTCATCCAGACTCCTTCCCTCCCCAGTCTGTTTGCCCTTTCATTTGCCTTCCTCACAGCCATCTGCATTCCAGTCCTGGCTTTGAGAAGGTGTTGCAATACAGTTTCTGTGTTTTGCTTATTGTGGGTGGCCATCGTTGCCACTGTGTTTGGGAGTGGCATCTGGGCCTGCATTTCGCCTCTATCCGTGCTAGGAAATGCCTTCCTCGTGGCTGAATATGCTGCCACTCGTGCCTGGCCGGCTGGTCTAAGCGGCTTTGTTTTCTTCTACGCCCATATTCTCCTTCATGGTTTGGGCTATGTTCGCATGATAGGGTTTGCGGTGCTGAGCCATGCGTGCTGGCTGACGGCTGCTCCTCTACTCATTCGTGGGTCAAGGATCTTCCAAAAGATCCAGCCTTCCTTGATTCTTTTCATTCTTGCGGCCCTGGTCTTACCCGCGTTGTTTGATGCCTCGTCGTACCGTCGCTTGATGTGGCTGATGTGTTATGTGGATAGTACACAGCCAATCCGCAACATTTCTACGAGTTTTGGGCAACTGGGTGTGTTCCAACCTTTCCCAAGCACATGGACAACAAGTGATATTGCTGTGTGTACTGTTTCTTCATTAGCTAGGGTTTCGCTTATGCTCTATTTTTTCAGATGATCACAGGCCCAGCCAGCCTTCACGCTTTAGTTCTTGCCATCGCTTCTGCCTCGTATGTTGTTACACATATTCCGGTCTTTGCCCTACGCATTCTCTACAACTGGGATGCGCTCATCCTGAACATCATCATCGGCCTACTCTATCGTGGATTCATCCGGCTTCTGTGCTCTGTGACGCTCGTCCTCGTGTCTGTGGTATACTCGATGGATCATTCACTTATGGCGTTTGGGCAGCGTCTGTTGCGTTTCGTTCTTTCTCAGTTCGCACTCGTGAATCCCCCGCCTGAACTGCTCCATGCAACCAGAGGGTTCCAAATATGGCAAACAGCCCAGTCTCTCGAGTTGGCAGCTGCGAAACATGAGCTGTGGGTGGCCATTGTTGATCGAGCAGGCATTGCCTGGGATATTTGGCACGCCCTCTGCTTCGCACAGCGACTGGTGAGTCTGGTTCAATGGCTATTCTACATTCTCACCATTCCCAGGTCATTGTGGCGCCAGTTGTCGTGTTCTACACGAAATATCATGGAGTAAGTCACGTCTTGTGCTCTGCCCCGGGCCGTCCACGCCTGATTTCAATTTACAGATTCCGCTTGTACGACGAAGCCGCCGCTGTGATAACCAGTGGCCCTCGCCAGCGAAGATGTACGTGCTATTTGCATTTCTTCGAAAAAGCGGTATTGTTGACGAAATGCTATCAGTGCTCCGCATCCAGATTCGGCAGGTTACCAAGCCGTTCCACGAACACGATTAGATTCAATGGTGGCAGGGATGGATGACGTTGGGGACGCCCGACTACTCTCATTCGTGTCTCCAAGCAAAACAAACTCACGGCGAGACCCTAATCGAGATTCGGACAACGACCGTTGGAGGACGAAGCCGTTTTTCTGGAGCGAGAATTGTAGACAACACCAAGCCCTTTTGTCTCCCCAGTCCCACTGTCCCACAATCGAGAATCGGGCCATCGACCGTTGGAGGAGTTCAAGGCTCAGCGCGGAGCGAGCGAGAATCGGAATACCGACCCTTGGGACGCACGACAGCAGCAGCAAGTTTCGATCGAGAATCGACACGGCAACGAACGAAGGTTTAGGGCTATTCAAGCCCCGCGATCAGCGGACTGGACCGTCGATACTTGCGATGCACGAGCTCCCCGATTGAGGATCGGTGGGCCGAGCACGACCGTTGTGGGAGAGAGAGGAGAGAGTGGTAGAAGAGTGGGAGTTCCAGGATTGGCCCGGGAGGAGACGCTGCTCGCTCCATATATGTATTGAGAGTCGTAGAGTACCAATGGTGCTCTGCGACTGCGAAGTTGCTTTTGTTTAGCTTGTGGTAGTCTTACTAGTAGTGCCCTCTTTCGCAATATACTTGTTTCAAATCACACCTTGGGCAAGCGGTCGGGTATAGCGCAGCTTTGCTCACGGGTGGAGCTCGCCGTTTACCTCCAGTACCTGATTACAAGTTCACTCCCACACACGCATCTCCTGTGCTCCATCGACTCTGCTTACTGCGACGGTGAACCTCTGCCCGCCTGCGCCCTCCTCCTCCGCCGCTGACATGGGACCTGCGCCGAGATCGCCGGATCATGATGCCTATGAAGCTGGACAACGTGCTCCTGTGGCCACTGCCATCTGATTGACTATGCGCGCACCGAGGCGTTCACCGCAGCCTACCGTGTGCGAAGAACGCGCACGCGGGTTACGTCACACCCGCGCGGTGACTCATCAACAACCACGACCGACAACAACACTGGCCGCAACACTCTCAAGCCGCGATAAGCTGTTACTGCACTACTGGCTATACTACGACGGCTCACCTTCAAGTTGTCCGGCAACACACACCAGCCGGTCTGCGACGGGTACCAACTAGCCACTCAACTCCCTTCACCAACGGCGAAGCCAGCCACTGCAATAACGGTGAGCCTCAAATTATACCACTAGAAATACAGCAGATTGTGATGGGACGACGCCCTTCGTTAGAGCAGGCTGCAGCCCGCGTCTTTAGCGCGGTTTTGGCAACCACTGGAAGTCATGCGCGTTAGCCCAAAGCACGGCACGAACGCTAACCCGCGCTATCTCGGACGGTCACCGTTGTTGATTCTGTCTTCGTCACAGACATCAACGACGAGCTCGCTACTCCAACGCCGAGCTGACAGCTCCACCAGCAAACTCTTCCGCCAACTTTGGCATGGTGGTGCCGACTTCGAGAATGACAACCCCGGCGGCGGCAACAACTAGGCCAACCTGCCCGGAGCTCAAGCAGGGCCGTGCGCGGGAGGTGGACAACAGGCAAGCCAGAGGGCGGGCCTGACAAAGCACATGGCCCGCGTGCGCCAAACCTGACCGGCGGAATGACTCAAACCATGAACAGGCTCTCTTGCGACAACAACCTGACTATTCCCGCCAACAACCACTCCACACGCAGCTTGCGGCAATCACCAGCCCTGCATCCCCCCTCCTCCTTCCCCCGCGCGGCAATTCGGCACAACACATGCCTCCGACTCGAATGCGTTGCCGGCGTCGGGATCGCTGGCCAACACGACGAATCAGCACGGCAACAACTTGAAGAGGCGCAAGAACTCGACGCACCGCGGCCAACACGATGCGGCAACGCGACTGCTGACACGGATGGGTACAGCCAGAGGGCGGGCGTGACAAAGCACGTGGCCCGCGCCCGGCAAGCCTGACCCGCGCAATCAACCAAACCAAGAACAGGCTCTCTTGGCCATAACCGCGACAACCTGACTATTCCCGCCAACAACTGCTCTCAAACTGACTCCAGCGGCAACCACCAGCCCTGCATCCCTCCTCCCGGCACAACACATGCCTCCGACCTGAATGCGGTGCCGGCGTCGGGATCCCGAGCTGGCCAACATAAGGCAACAACTTGAAGAGGCGCAAGAACGCGACTCGCCTCGGCCAACACGATGCGGCAACTCAACTGCTGACGCGGATGGCCAGCGGAGCCGCTCCCGTTCCTTCTTTCCATTGACAGCGACCACGGCCGGAGACGACAGCCCGCAGCGCAACACCAACTCCACGCGGGCGGGCCTGTGAGCGGGGGACCGGGTGCCCAGTTTGACGACGAGCGCAACGAGGGCTGTCCAGGGGTAAGCGTGCTGTGGATATATTCCGAATTGATGCTCACCAAGAAACAACGCGCGGTCTTAGCAGTCGGCAAGCCCATCCCTCGCGCGGCAACTCCGCAACTACTGGTCAGGTCACGCGAGCGGCAGCGCGAGAGAACTCGCCCATAACTTGGCGCGGCCAACTTGCATGCGTTGCCGGCCGCACGGCAGAGCTGGCGACGGCGGCAAATCAGCAAGGGAAGGAGAACACAACTCAGCTGCTGACACGGATGGGCGGCCAGCGCAGATCTGCAAGGGAAGAAGAGCTGCTGACACGGATGGGCGGCTTGCTTCGGCCCGAGGCCGTAGCCTCGGCCGACGACATCGCGTTCGACAGGACATCGGGCTATTGCGTCGAGCATGTGCCGCGTGGACTTGGGATGGTGCGGACACTGGCAATGACGAGGTCGCTGGCGGCAACTGCCACATGTGAGTCCCGTTCTAGGATGTCGACGATCAGCTTACCTTGGAGTTCCCAAGCCTGTCGCGGACAACGGCGGAGGAGACAGCGTGCTGGGGTTGATGTCGGAGATGGCGCACGGCTGGGGCGGACGCGGAAAGATGTTAGCGCGCATACTAATCTAATCATAATCAGCAAGACAAGAAGAGGATCAAGATGCCGACTCACCTCTGTAAGACCGATCCGGCGATTCGGATGGGTACGGCGTTTGCCCTCCCCCGTTCCTGCTTTCCAACGGCGACCCACGGCCGGGGACGCGACCGATAGAGCCGACAGCGATCGATTGCTTGCGCAACACAGCGAGCGCGAGGGTGTCTGACAAGAGGTAAGTGGGCCGCGAATAGATGCCAAGTTGATATCCACCAAGAACAGGCTCTCGGCGACAGCAACCACGACGACAAGCCCAACTCGGGGCCCGAACTGGCGGCGACTTTGACAACGACCAAGGCGGCGGGAGCGGAAGCAACGTGGTCCCGGCGTCCTCTCTCAACTCCAGCGTTACACCGACAAGGTCGTTGTAGTTGACTGTGAAAGGTGAGTGCTGTTGCAGCATCATCGACGATGCTTACCTCGAATAGCTCAAGAC